TAATAAATTGTAAGAGGGGAAAACCGAAGCAGTATGTCCTCAAGGAAATAAAATCCCATGTTAATTGATTAATTAAACAAATATACTAAGATAGTATAGGATAATAATTGTACGATTTTTCGAAAAACACATTTTTGTGTCAAAAATCATTCAGCAACGCGGTGTTATTATTATTCCAGGAAAGATATAGGCACAATTTATTATCAATTATTGATCAAAAGTTCGGCAAAAAGCTGTCTGTGAAGCTAAAAAAAATTTCTCTTTGGATCTAATCAAACACTTCTCCCCAATGATCGTTTCTAACTGATCCACGATGAAAGTAAATCCTCATGAAAAATTCTGGATAATCTACTTATGAAGGCAAAAATGGTACTCGTGGTCCAACTGGGAAATCAATTTATAGACTCGCGAATTATTTTATTTGTTAAATTACAGAGAAACGAAATGATTCGCGAATTATTTCACTGGCTTAATTTCTAAGAAGTGGACTGATTCAGGAATTATTTTAAATTATCAGAAAATGGAACAGTTCGCGAATTATTCCGTTGGTTTAATTATGCAGCAATGGAACGATTCGCGAATTATTCTATTCTCTAAATTATCGAGAAATGGAATGATTCGCGAATTATTCTAAATTATATAAAGATTGAACGATTCGCGAATTACTCTAAATTATTGAGAAACAAAATAATTCGCGAATTATTTCACTGTGCTAAATTATGGAAAAATGAAACGATTCGCAAATTATTCTACCGAGTAAATTATCGAGAAACAAAATAATTCGCGAACTATTTCACTATGCCAAATTATAGAAAAATGAAACGATTCGCAAATTTTTCTACTGGGTAAATTATCGAGAAATGCAATGATTCGCGAATTATTCTAAATTATATAAAAATTGAACGATTCGCGAATTACTCTGAATTATCGAGAAACAATATAATTCGCGAATTATTTCACTGTGCCAAATTATAGAAAAATGAAACGATTCGCAAATTATTCTACCGAGTAAATTATCGAGAAACAAAATAATTCGCGAACTATTTCACTATGCTAAATTATAGAAAAATGAAACGATTCACGAATTACTTTACCGAGTAAATTATCGCGAAACAAAATATAATTCGCGAATTATTCCACTGCCTTAATTACCAAAAAACGGACTGATTCGCGAATCACTCTAAACTATTCAAAACCGAAACGACCCCTCAATTATTCCACTAGTTTAATTATGCAGAAATGCACAATCCACTCTCTAAATTATCGAGATATCAAAAGATTCGCGAACTATTCTAAACTATCTAAAAACAGAACGATTCGCGAATCATTCTACTGTCGAAATAATCTCAAAACAGAACGACTCGCGTTAAAATTACACTGGATAACCAATCTCCAATCTCCCATCTCATGTTAACTAACAGTGCTCGCTTCATCGCACGACGAAGAATCGTAGAACGCGAAAAGCTCGTAGCCATCGTCAGCGGTCTAAGCAACGCTGAATGAACCGTCCGGGGACTAGGGCACAACATTCGCGGGTATCAAAGCGAGCGAGTAGGTGTGCAGACACGCCGAACGTAATAGTAACCTTGGCTTAGCGATGGTCACGTTATGGTAACGTCTATGACACGTTCCCACGTAGTCGCGTGTCACGTCCTCGCTTACGATCGCCTCACGTGACCACGGAGAAAGGGGAGGCTCGACCAGCCTCGTCATCGGACCTCCTTTTTTTTCCTTTTTTCTTTTTTCCTTTTTCTATCTCCAAACGCTCTGTTTTTCCACACGTCTCATCGACTATCCTCCCCCTTTCCCGTCCCCCATTTTCCCTCCATCGCCGCTTTTCCATTCGCCCATATTTTCCACTATCCTTACACCCCTCCCCCTCCCCTCCGTCCCCCGTTTTCGGAAATCGCGCGAAATATGACTGTGCGAATGTGTCACGAGTGTGTTTTACCATCTCCCTATTCATTAACACGTTGAATGCCACGCCAGTTTTACAGGGATTGCCCGTGGTGTCACGATGAATTTTCTATTAATTTTCTATTAATTTTCTACTAATTTTCCTGAATTCCCCTTTTTGCGACCACCGAACACATACACCTGCTTTAACTACTGGCGGTGGAAAGACGTGCCACGCACGTCGAGATGCTTCTGTTACCGGAACACCAGCGACGTGTTACACACGTCGTCAGGCGATTGTTGCAGAAAGAAAAATAACGTGTGTGGCACGTCGACTGTTAATGAAAAATATCACGCTCTGCAAGATTATTAATAAATAAATTTAGTATTCATACATATGTAATTTTATCATCAGTTTATGCGTCTTCATATTCTCTTCTGGAACCCCCCGAACGCTGCCTGAACGCGCCCCGAAGTGATTTGCATTCGACTGTTCTGGCACGCGCAACGGTGGTTGAGAAATAAAATTGGTATCAACTCGTATTAAGAAAGAATTGTAATCAATATATTCACTCGTATTCATCGTACCGCTGAAATTACTATAATCTGTGCACGTTATAGTTAGGTAGCTATTAAAGATCGGTAGTTCTAGTGTTAATTTTATGTCAAAAAATCCCCATCGTTAATATTAATTGCGACAGGGGTCACCATCGAATAAACGATGGTAACAATAAAAATTTCTAAATATTCACATTTCCTTAAATTATATATGTTTCTATCAATCTGTGCTCTCGTGGTGCCACCGCCAAGTTGAGTGCCGGTCACCGGTGACCCCCATGTCATTCAACGTGTTAATTAACACCTCATTTTTCTTCCCATTCTCTTCCCTTTATTCTTCGCAATTTTAACATCTCTCCGTTCTCTCTCTGTTTCAGATCGTACAAATCAACCGCCTTCTAACAAGCCACATTAACCTCAAGTGATTTCTATTTTCTTACGAAGCGCGAAAGAAGTAATTAGTGTGTTTATATCGACGTAAAACAAAGAAAGAAAGAAAGAAAGAAAAAAAAAAGAAGAAATACGAAGAAAAAGAAGAAGAAAATATTCCAAGAGCTTAGGTTCAGAAAGAAGACAAAGCATTTAAGAGCTATAGTAATCTAATTAGTGTACAAAGTATATCCGAGGGGGAAAAAAAACGTAAAAGGGGGAAAAAAAAGAAAAAAAAAAAGAAAAAAAAGTCCGCCAGTGCCAAATCGAAAGACGAAACGGGGGAAAAAAAGCGAAAAAGGAGGAAAAAGGGGGAACAGAGAGCGAAACAAGGGAGAGAACGCGTTTAAGACGATTGTTGTACGTTTTTAAGGGCAGATAAAGGGGGAGAGGGAGAGAAGACATAACGAAACGAGGGGAGGGGAAATAAAGAGAGGAAAGAAGAAGTTAAAAACCGTAAACCAAAGAATCTACCATTTCTTTTTTCTACTAATCACTCAGCGAGCTAACGATATACTCACTAACCAGCTAGACGAGCGGCGATCTCTTCGCGAACGGATTTAATTAGAGGAGCAAGAAGAAGAAGAAGAAGAAGAAGAGGAGGAAACGAGAGGAAGCGAGGGAAGAAGAATACGGAAGAGAGACTAGCGAAAGGGGAAGGAAGAACCGAGCGACAAAGCTTTCCCGAAGCTCGCGATAAGTTTCACCGCGACGAAACGAACTAAGAGTTAGGATTGACGTTCTTTTTTTTTTTTTTTTTTTTTTACTTTTTTTTTTTTTTTTTTTTTTTTTTTTTTTTTTCATTTTTCCGACAAAAAAGGGGAAAAGGAGGGAAAAAGAGGAGAAGAAACGAAACGGACGCACTTACTACTCGTAGAGAGAGAGAGAGAGAGAGAGCGGCGTGAGAGTATCTAATTAAGGAAAGAAGAGGAGTCCCATCCAAAGCGAAAGAGAGACAGAGAGAGAACGCAGGCCGCCCTATATATCCGGAAAAGGGGACTCGCATATAATTACTCCCAGAGAAACCGATCTACTTCAGTTCGTAGCCTAAACCTGTTGAGTACAAACGACAGAAATAGAGTTATAGAGAGAGGTAGAAAGCACGCGCGCGCGCACGAGAACGAGAGAGAGAGAGAGAGAGCGAGAGAGAGAAAGAAAGTAAGAGAGAGTTTGAGAGAGAGAGAGAGAGAGAGAGCGCATACGCACGAGCGAGAGAACGAGAGCAAGCGCGAGAGAGGAACAAAGAAGAGAGATCTCTAAGAGACAGAGGGAGAGAGAGAGAGAAGTGAGAAGAAACCGAGGAAAAAGCGCGAATACACACCGATACACTCTGGCACGCGCGAAAAGTACACGCACACGCACACACACCGAGACTACGCAAAGGCACCAAGCTACAGAGAAGGGTAATACGAACAGGGCATAATCGGAAG